AACATGATTATTTATAGGCAAAATCCAACTAAGGTAATAAATGAAAGTAGAATACAGTTGGGAGTTAGCCAATTTCATGGACTTGGGTAGCCATTTTGCTGACTTGTGTGGCGCTTTTGACAAAGTTACACCGGCCTATTGTAATTGGTGGTACTGCAGAGTGCAGAGTACCTTCTGCATACTTGCTGCATTTTTTCTGGTGCATTAATGGTGCTTTCTCCCGATGCAGAAATCCATATAAGAGAGTAACAAACTACACTAAATTACTCTTCACATGGCACATGGCCTCTTCCAGCGGCCAGCATGATCCAACCCCAAAAATTGTTCAAATACTCCTTCACATCATCATTACGCTTACATGAAGTAAGATCTGCGTCACTTTGCGCCATGTGAATGAATTGATTTTCCCACTTATTTTTTAGGTACTTACGACTTTACTAGATTTCTATTATCAAAGAAAAATATATATTAGATTTCACTTTCTTATCATTTACGTCCTTCACAAAGAGGACAACCTTATACATGAAAGAAAAAAAAAAAAAAATTAAGACAGCCGTATGTAGGCATGAAACCCTGCAGACAATTTGTTCATTTACCATACAGTTATAATTCACTGTACCTAAAGCCTTAAAAATTGGTGGAATAATATGCTCTACTCTCTCTACTTAATTTTAGCCGTTCTAAGTTCTAACTCTTAATTTAATTTTTTTAGTATTTTTAAATTTAACTCAATAAATAAATAAAAACTAATTTTTTAATATTTAATTCTTATTTTTTTTTTAACAGATTTTACAAGGGGCTGGGTTCGAACCCCAGTCCTGGAGAGGGAAGAATGCACCATAGGTGGCTATTGCTACTTGATCCGAAGGGTTTGGTGTAATATTTAATTCTTGTTAAGTAATTTTATTTAATAAAAAATCATTAAATTTTTATTTAAAATTAATATATGAAAAATAAAATGTTAATCATTAAAGTTGAACACAGTTTGAAAAAGCAAACCCATCCGTCCCTTGATTTGTAAGTGAAGCAGGCTCATTTGGTTGTAAAAGATTGAGGAAATCGACCACAAATATTTTTCTGTTCGGTAAAGTGAGGACTCCGTACTAATCCTTGGCAAAATTTGGTATTAC